TTCAATTTGTGTTAGCTTACTTCTCTATTACAGTATTCCCGCCAAACACACACCGAAACTACGAAGTTGGTACAATGTTCGAACAAGTTTTAACACTCCCTAACCAGTTATAACAACCAATATATCAAAATGTAACACGTTCTAATACATCATACACACGCTAAGCCAAGATGTAACAACTTTATTACAAGTTGTAACAAGCAGAAAATAGAGAGAGTTTCGGTTTGTGTTTCCAGGGTTAAGAGTTTACCCCCTTCACACCTTTAAATAATTTTGTTTTGCAAATTGCAGTATTTCAAGTTTTGCCTAAAATGCTTTGTTTAATAATGCAATGAGGTGCTTAACTTAACAATGAGGAAAATCATACATACAGGTATGTTGACGTAAAAAAGTAATTAGAAAGTAGGAACTGGTACTAGTGAATTTGGACAAACCAGAAAAGTTTTTGTATTGATGTTGCAAGAAAACTAAACCTAACCTTCCTAGGCCTAATACCCACTATCTGAGGCATAATATAGTACATATATGTGCTATACTAGGCCTAGGAATATTAAAGCTTAGTTTTTAGCTGTACTGGTATTTTTTTTTTTAGACTATAAAATTAATGCCGTTATACAAAATTCTACTATTTAACTGTCCATTATGTCTATGAATGCATGATGGTCCACACAGTTGTAAAAAGTACTATCTAAACAGGAGGATGTATTGCCACTATTACAAAACTACTGCTGTATTGATGGAATCAAGTAACTTTCTAATCCTGTACTGTACTATATAAATTATATCTCCACTTACATCATTACTTCATATTAATATATTCAGTCAATTATATTAGCAATGCTACACTGAATATTCTAATTTATATTTTGCTTTTAATTTAAAACAAGTCATACCTGTAAGCCATCATTTATTATTTTTACACACACACACACACACACACACACACACACACACACACACACACAACAAATGTTCTTACATTCTTGCACAACCAATAGTACGCATAGCATTTCGGGCAAGTCCTTAACCACTGCGCTGTGCCAAACAATAAATGCCATTCGCCCATTACTGCACCAACCGACAAAAGTATTTTTTATTTTTTCGTACACGGTCAAAACGCGCTCGCGGTAGGTTGGGTACAAAATGGACCCTTTGAACTTCCTGTGAAAGGCAGCCATCTTGGCAAAAATTCCCAGAATGTCCTAGGGCTGCTGCTGGCTGGGTTAGTACTGAGTGAGCAACTACGGGTGGCGCACACGCCTCTGGGTCTCAAATACCTGTCCGACGAGGTGTTGAAAGATCGCTCTGTCGGTGAAATTCAGACCTTATTACTTCAATATCATGACCCTTATGTCCTTGATGAAGCTAGGCACAATAAGGACCTAACACAAAGGTCGGATGCAAGTTATACAGCACCTATGAAGAGGATACAGTGAGCGTATCCAGTTGTAGCTCTGAGCACCACCCTTGCCCACCTATGTATTCTCAAATTTATATAGATGATACATAGATGAATTGTTTTCTGGGTTCAGTGATGATGCATCTGATACAAGTAGCATAGATGAACAGTGTTAGCGGCTTCCATGGTGTTTTCCATAGTTATTTTCAAGAATAGCTGAATCTCTTCCAGAATGGTTTAATCTCTTCCAGTGAGGGACTTCACAAAGAGATCTTTTCAAGACTACCTTATGGTTTACAAGCTTGGCTACATACAACCTACAAGTACTAAAGCCAAGGGTGTATGTGAGTGCATCATTTGCAAGCACACAGAACGAAGAAACAGGAAGCAAAAATTTATCTGTACCTGGTGCAACGAGAGCAAAGTCGCACTGTACCATGGACTACTTCCTTGATTATTACTCTCTTCCGAAGTACCGAGTGTGTAATGCAGTGTGTCACTGTAAGTAGTGTGTGAAACTGTACATATTGTAATTTTAGTGAATTTTTAACAAGTAATATTAGTACATTTATTGTGGACACATTACTGACATGTATTACAGTTCCATGGAACATTATGAACATTCTATTGTATACATATTATAAAGAACACATATGCATCATATACAAAAAAAACAAATAAAACTGCATTGGAAATACATAGAACAAATAATTGAAAATATATTTTTTGTGGCAACTCGCGGTGCTCGAATGGCCCACATGACTGCCTCTGGGAGCTTCACGCACAGGTGACCAGCCCATGACGATATCACAACACACCTTGTCCACGTCCTTATCGCCAAAGTAAGTGGAATTTGGTATTTATTTTTACATAGACATGTTCAGGGAAGGGAATTTATCATTTCACAAAAAAAATATTTTTTTGGGAACACTATTTCATGCGCACAGGGGGAACTTCACAATAAACTCAGCGCCTCAAAGTGGATGTTCCCCAGAACACGACTCCGCCAAATCGTTTAACAACCAGGTACCCATTTTACTGTTGGGTAAACAGAGGCTACAGTTAAAGGATTGACGCCCAGTAAATCCTCCCTGGCCAGGATACGAACCCAGGACAAAGCGCTCACAAAACGCCAGGCAAGTGTCTTAACCACTACATCACTGGGACTCGATTCATCAACAAGAAACAATTTGTTTAACAGTATGGTGGCTATTCTTTTATAATTCATAATATTGTGCTGTATCACTATTTTTTATTTGTAATTTTCAATTTACAATAAAGTGGCCTACTGTACTGGAATTACTGCATTGTACAGTATTGTTATTCCTAATGTTAGTGACTATTACTACCATTTATTTTTTTGTTATACTGGCAAATCTTAGTATAAAGTATAAAATCTGATGTAATTTTATACTTTTCCATTAGTGTACAGTACCAGAAAACAAAATTCTTATATTGCTAAAATTTATAACCTACATTTTTTTAAACATGTATAGTGTCTGACATCATATTTGCACACTACATAATTGTTTGTACATCTAGACTGCCTAAGGAGAATTCGATACAGTACTTGCACAAACGCAAGAAAGCGGATAAATTCAGAAAATGCGACTGCAAATGGCAGAGTAACCAGGTTGTAGTACAGTACCTGTACAAAGAATTACGATTTTGTAAATATTTGGAAATTCATGGTAAGAAACTAGGCCGACTGAAATAAGGGATGGGCCCCATACGAGTTGGATTACCAAGCATAAACAGAAACGTGTGGCCAATCTCTTGGCACGAGACAAATCTTTAGCCACCGACATAAATTGGATATCTCGGCAAGTACCGTATTTCATCTGTGGACATGTTTGTGGTTTTCCATTCTAAAGATCTACACCACAGATTTTGCCATAAAATATTATAGTAGAACTCCTCTGTCAGCAATAAAGTCATATCAAGAATGTTGTGCCAAACAAAATAACTTTAAAAAATAAATATTTAATTATTTTGTAGCGATTCTGGTACATATCAAAATATGCACAAAAACATGCCCTATCATTTGCACCAATAAAAACATAACTGAGCAGAAAATGACAAGAGTAATGAAAGTAATTATTTACATTACTTTAATAATTACGACTAATTATTTTCTACATAATAAGTACAGTATTATGATGAGTGGAATGAAACTGGATAATCCTCTTTCAGATCATTGAATGAATTTGAGAAAACCTGGCCACACAAAACACACAGCCTCCGACATTACACCAGTGATGAACACATGTCTATAGATTATTATATCATTTATTTTTTTTTTTTTTTCTTTTTTAAGATATATACAAGAGTTGTTACATTCTTGTACAGCCACTAGTACGCGTAGCGTTTCAGGCAAGTCCTTAATCCTACGGTCCCTGGAATACGATCCCCTGCCGTGAAGAATCGTTTTTTCATCCAAGTACACATTTTACTGTTGCGTTAAACAGAGGCTACAGTTAAGGAATTGCGCCCAGTAAATCCTCCCCGGCCAGAATACGAACCCATGACATAGCGCTCGCGGAACGCCAGGCAAGTGTCTTACCACTACACCACGGAGACTGTCAAATGTGATCATGATCACATTTGGATGGGATCGGTTTTTGTAGATAACGTGTTTAGCGACATCATCCATTCTTGTACAGAACCTCAAATCAGGTGCAGAAAAAAACAAGTTCCAGCTAAGTAAGGCTGTGCTTGGCTGGATGCTTTCATGGTTTGAATAGTGAAAAAGCAAGTTTTTATTGCCGTTATATTTAAGGGCATTTTAAAATCGATTTTGGTATTAAAATATCAAACTGTTCTAATGCTATAACTAATAAAGTTTATAAATTAAAAAAAAAATATATATAGCAGAAAACAGCAAAGATCATACCTGCTGTCAAATAATAGCAATTATTTTTGTTAATTTTTGGGCAATATCAAGTTATATTGGATGGGAAGTTACCCAATCCCATATAACTTGCCATTACCCATCCAATATATTAGACTGGTCAAAGCAAGAATAAATTCATTTGAACACAGTTGCAATGTTCTGTATTTGCATTTTTATAATTACTTAAATATAACAATCACAATATGTACACCATAAGTGATCCTATAAAACCCCTATTACGGATAAAAGTCGATTGGGTTATTTCGTAATTTAGATATAGAGAAGACTAATGGGCTGCAACTCTCATTAGACATTAATTATATAATACAAGACAATACAATGCTTGGACTATTTGATTAAAAGATATCCTTAAGTTAACAGACCAACATATTCAGCATAAAGGAAAAAAAAAGAAGACATTTGCTTGCAGTGTGACAACGCTTATGTTTTAACCTGTCAGTCTGTGTGCTAGGTTGTGTATTCTACAACAGCATATGTGGTCAGCTTCACTTTCTGAGGAAGGTCACTCATGTGGTAACCACAAGAAAGCCTGCAAACTAAAGGATCAGCACTTCCGAGCATACTATATACATTAATAACCCCAACACTAAAATTACCCTACTACACTACTGTGTAGGGCGCAAACGATCCTACGACTGTCGTAGACCCCCAATTGACGACAGTAACAATACTGTTGTAGACACTTACCTGCAAAAACAATTCGTATAGAAGATCCTGTGTTACTTTCTCAGGGTCAAAGTTTCCCACCCACACCGTCCTGCTTTCCTCACTCATTTTGTCTTCTTTTTGTATGTGATGATGGCAGCGTGTCTGACGGCTTCTCCTCTAAATGAGCGTAGACTCGCACGAGTTATTGTCTGATGTCTGGACACAGCAAACCGTAGTCGCCCCTAAGATGCCTCCGTCATAAACAATCAAATGAAGCACTGCTAGTTCTGATAAATTGATGATATTCCTTATTTATCTATATATATATTAATGTTATAGTTATCTTAATTTTTATAAAATATTTACAATACTGCTGAAGTTCATTTGATGAGGAAATTATTTTTATTTTATTCGCATTGCTAATTTTCCATAGTTTGTCAATGACAACTGGAAAGGAATACGAGCCTTGCAATTATAGAGTTTGTAGTGGTGCTGGACGTATTTTCCAGAAACTAGAAAGAGTTTTCTAGAAAGAGAAAGACTACTAGGCAATATTTACAGATAATGTTTCGTCTGTTAGGACCTTTATCAACAACAACTAGACACACTAAACCGCCAATCTAAACTTATAAAGAGGAACAAACTGGGGTAAGGTTGTATGAGATACGACCGTGATCAAATTAAGTGGGTTGAACGCATGAGTGGGAGTTGTGGGGGTGGAGGGGGGGTGATTATTTTATGCTAAATAATATCTATTTACGAAGTATTAATTTAGTAATAAAGGGTATTAATGTTGAATGCTCTTTTATTCTGTTTGATGGTGTTGTAGTAACTGGTTTTGAGTTTATGGCTTTCCAGAAGTTTATGAGGCGTGACGTAACACAATAAGCCTCGTACTCACCTATCAGTGTCTACGGTGGGGGAGGGAGTGAGAACTAGCTCTTCATACCCCGCCCCACTATACATTGATGATTGTTGCCGCCGGAGGCGCCTAGTTTATTGTGGACCCCATATACCCATCCTGTGAGCGGTAGCGCAAAAAGCATTACAGAGGGCACAAAAGGTCTTTATCAGACCTCATCTTAGATTATTACATAAACAATTTCACACAGTTAGTTAGTTTCACACAGTTACCATACGTCCGTATTTACCAGGACATTCCTGGTTTAAGGTGTCAAAATTTGCGTCCTGGAAAATAAAATAAAACTCCGAAAGTCCGGAATTTAAGCTTCCATCACTTAAAAATTATCTACATATACATATATATATATATATATATATATATATATATATATATATATATATATATATATATATATTTATTCGTATATGGAAGGGAGTACCACCTCTGGCTAGAAGAAGGGGACCCTTAGCCTCGGAGGAAATCACACATAACGCATTAGAGGGAATGTTTAGGTTTCCTCCAATACAGTTTGTGTGCTTTTCTCCTATCCCCTCCCCCCTTCCTTTTGTGTTTTGTTGTGCTTAATTAGATATTTAAGGTTACAAGATGTACATTAATAATAAAATTAGTGCTTAAAGGTTATGGATCTCTTGAAGCTCCTCCACTTTCGGACAGGAACCGTGGACGCAGCAGGCGTTTCCCCTTTGGACCGCCACACTGAAGCGCTGAAATAAAAAAAACTAGCAGCCCTTGGGTCTCTGGTGACGTCAATGAGCCTGGAGCCCAATTCATTGAGAAATCCCAAGGCACTTTTGCCCCAGGGGTCATGCGTCTCAAACGCTATGGGAACAAAGGTGTATTGACCTTCCAATCGCCTGTATTTGACTGATTTTGCTATTTCTCTGTGGTTGGCCGTCCCACCTGCTTGATCAGCACCGAAGTATACATATAGGTGTCAGCCAGGGTGGATACACATATTTAGTGTATTGTTGGTAGTTGTAGTTCAACACTACACACATATGTAGTGTTGAAGAAGGCATTCGAGCAAAATTCTGTGTTGAGTTTCACTTACGAGATGGAGAAGGATGGGAAGCTGCCCTTTCTAGATGCAACAGTCACGGAAAGGAGCAGAGGCTTCCACACTGCAGTGTACACTAAGGAAACAAACATAGGAATGTGCCCCAATGCCAATAGTGACTGCCCAGACAGGTACAAGAAGAGTGTTGTCAATGCTTACGTCGACCGTGCTCTCAGCCACAGCTCAGGATGGAAGCAAGTCGATGAAGAACTCTGTAGGGTAAGGCAGGTCCTAATTAACAATGGCTTCTCTAATGGTTTTGTTGAAGACATCATAAAAAGAATGGTAAAATGCCATGCAACCTCTGAAGAGTCAACTAGCACAACACATGTACCCGCTATTAGACTATTTTACAGGAACTTCTTCTCGGCAGCTCATAAAACGGAGGAAAGGGTCCTGAAAGACATTGTTGATTGGAACGTTATCCCTACAGACAAAAATCAGAAAATATAATTGACGATTTACTATAAAACCAAAAAAACGGCCAACCTACTCATGAAAAACTCTCCAGACACAAAGCAGAATGCCTTGAAGGAAACCAACGTTGTCTATGCCTTCAAATGCCCACTTGGGGACTGTAAGCCCCACAGAACTCGATATAGGCAAGACAACAACGTCTCTTTCCAGGCGATTAACAATGCATAAGCAACAGGGCTCCATAAAGGAACATATAATCTCTCACTAATCTCTCACTAATCTCTCACAACCAGATCATCACCAGAGAAGTCTTAATCAACAACACAGAAATCATCGATAGGTACAGCGATAGCAGGCGGCTCGACATCTGCGAGGCACTACACATCAAAAAGTCAACACCAGCAATCAACAGCCAATTTATGCACAACTATATTCTACCCACTTCAAGACTTCGAACCAATATAGAAGCATCAAGAGGAAGTATGGGCCAATAGGCCCTCTGCAGTTACTTCCATTTTTATGCTCTCATATCCAATTAATACCCATTGTTTCGTGTTCTGTCTTGTATTAGTCACAAGTTTGTTCACCTCATCCAGAACTGTTGCACCATATCACCTCACCCAAATGCGAGTATAAGTAAGATGGATTAGATGTTTATTGTTAGTATAAGTAAGATTCTGTTTAGTGTTTTCAGGTTACAGTTGTGTGTGTGTAAACTAGTCTTTGAAAATGTAATAAGTTATTACGTAACGCGTTCAAGTGTCGCGTCAGACTAGAAATAAAAATGAATTTTGGAGAATTGATTTTTCAATTACCATCGACAGTAAAAAAGAAACATAAGAAATATTGAGAAAATTCGTGTTAGAATTATTAATCTTACTTTTTCGGTCATATATTATATATATATATATATATATATATGCCAAAGGCCCAAAGTGTGTGGAGAGATTCTGAGTGTTCAGATATATATCAACCCAGGAATGTCATGACCATTATTTGGATTTTGGCAAATTTGGAAATTTTATGTTAGCAGATTTTTTGCGGATTTGGAATTTGGACATGATCACCACCTATAAAATTCTCAGAGGAATTTACAGAGTAGATAATGAAAAACTATTCAGCACGGGAGGTACGCGAACAAGAGGACACAGGAGGAAACTTAGTACCCAAATGAGCCACAGGGACTTTAAAAAAACTTTTATAGTGTCAAAGTAGTTAACAAATGAAATACATTAGGATATAATGTGATGGAGACTGACTTCATACACAGTTACAAATGTAGATAGAGCCTAGTTGACTCATGATTGATTGATAAAGATTAAGCCACCCAAAAGGGGGCACGGGCATGAATAGCCCGTAAGTGGTGGCCCTTTTGAGCCATTACCAGTATCAATAGATGATACTGGAGATCTGTGGAGGTGCGACTGCACCCTGCGTGACAGGAGATGTTTCCCGTCAGTTGGCCCGTGAATCTGTACACCAGTTGATTGACCACTGAGAGGCAGGATCAAAGAACCGAAGCTAACCCCCGCAAGCACAACTAGGTGAGTTCAGAATTTGACTGTGCCCAATAAATTCGTCCTTCGTGGCAAAATTTAATGTGAGGGTTAACCTAGTGTTGCCCCTGGAGGTAGGTAGCGCCGGGGTCGGCCGGGAGGCAGGGTTGCCACATTGGGCTACAAGTAGCGAATTGGGCTACTTTTGAGAGCCCCGCTCTCCCAAACTTTTAATTTCGCTACTTGCGACTTTTTGGGCTAATTTAAAAACAAGTTGGGCTAATAATGTTATGAAACTCAATGATTATTATTTGTGTTTTTATAATGTAATGTGTACAATTTACACCCGTGTCCAACAGCCTGATTGACTGAATCATTTACCGCAGGAGGCTTAGTCAGAGACCGGCCCCCTGGGGACGTTGATCCTAGGACCCTTCGAAAGACAAAGTAACCGCAAGGTGGGTAATCCTCCCAGGGGCCATAGATTTCCCAACCTTAACGATCATTAATACTTCATCCCAAAAGCTACAGCTGGTTCCACGGATCTTCATTAAAGGGAGAAAGTTATCTAGAAATTTACAGATTGATAAATGATGAGAAAGATCCCTTACAGTTTGACACAGCTCCGCTCCTGTGCCAGGTAAGTCCACTACGGGCTCACCATAGCCCGTGCTACTTGGAACTTTTGTTCCCAGTAGCTGAATCTTAAACAATAACAACCCTTACAGTTAATACCTTTGTCAGGAAGACGATGGTTGGCAAGAATCGGTAGTGTAAAGCAGTTATTAGATCAGTGGGTAAAAATTCAATGTAGGTTATCTTGAGATGATTTCGGGGCTTTAGTGTCCCCGCGGCTCGGTCCTCGACCAGGCCTCCACCCCCAGGAAGCAGCCCGTGACAGCTGACTAACACCCAGGTACCTATTTTACTGCTAGGTAACAGGGGCATAGGGTGAAAGAAACTCTGCCCATTGTTTCTCGCCGGCGCCTGGGATCGAACCCAGGACCACAGGATCACAAGTCCAGTGTGCTGTCCGCTCGGCCGACCGGGGGGGGGGGGGGTTAGAAATAGCCTAAGCTACTCTATCCCTTTTGAGATGTATTTCTTTCTTATCTCAATAAACATACTTGAACTTGAACTTTTCAACACTTCGGGCCACTAACAGACAAAACAATTTGATAATCCAGGAAAAGTTTCAAAATATTCAAGAAAGATGCAATAATTTTGTAGTGAAAGTTTGCAAATAGCTTATTTCTCAAAATCCAAGTAATGCTGAAACTTTTAATATTTAAAAAAAATCTGTCACCTATCATATGACTTAGCCACACACGGCCACCATTTTCAGAACTTCCATTAGTACCAGCTGACCAGTCTAAGCTTAGTGGACCAGTTGTCCTTAGTTGTCCTAAGCTTAGTGGACCAAATGTTGGACCAGCCATTGACTGGTCCAACATTTGTGAGGGAGAAATTCCAACATTTGAATCGTCATTTTGGACTAAGACAATAACTGCCAAGAATGTTGGCGATCCCATACTTACTGACCTCGCTGAGTTTGCGTTGAAAATATACAACTTACCAATCAGTAATGTCCAGTGGGTATTTTCGAGAGTAAAGTCTGTGAAAACTAAACTGAGAAATCGAATGGGACTTGAGCTTTTGACATCAATCTTGAGAATCAAAACATATCTTAAAGAAAACGGAACTTGTTGTTCATTTGAACCGCCCATGACAATGCTTAAATGTGAGTCTGTAATACACAAGAACAATCTTCTTGATAATCTTCAACTGTGAAGACGTATAAGGACTCCACACCCAGTATGCTTCATACAGTAAATACTGGTAAGTTATCCTATTATCATATTTTTTAATATATATATGCAGAGATAATATTAATACAACAATTAAAATCATGTAATGTACTCTATATATCAAAATATATTACTTTGAAACCCTTACCAATCACTTACAAAAAATTGGGCTACTCTTATTACAAATTCGCTACTTTTAGACCGTCAGCTCGCTACTTTCAGCAATTTGGATCTGGCAGCCGTGGCCGGGAGGCAGGTCAGTACACGCGTGGCGCATCTCGGGTGAGGGTGTGTGCCGGCCGCCTCCTGTCTTCTACTTCACGTGTGATTCGTTAACATCTGTCGTAGTGACTTAATTCATTGTTCAGTGGCAACGCAGAAAAATTAAGTGAATTTTGACTATATTGTTCATTGAAAGAGCTGAAACAATTTCGTGATTTGAGTATTACTGGCTTTACTCGAGCGGGAGTCGATATTATAAGTTTATATGGGTAAGAATATATATATATATATATATATTTGTTTGTTCTTAGTTAAAAGTTTCACAAGTATTTGTGTGCCCTTTATTGAGTTTATAATTAAACTAAGTTTATTTAGGCAGATACGCTAGGGTACATCTATTTTCAATAATTTTTGAACAATATTGTATGATTAGGCCATTTAAAACATCTGTGAGATAAAAAAAAAGGTAGGGGAAATCAAAGACATTTGTACAGTAGGCCTTGAGGTTATCTTGAGGGCTATATACTACTTTTTAATTGCATTCAGTAATTAATTACTAGCTCTGCTTGTTAACTAGATAGCCTTCCCTATGTTCTGCACTTGGGCTGGACGGTATCGCTTCATGCAGGTCGGCGTTCAATCCCCGACCGTCCAAAGTGGTTGGGGCACCATTCCTTCCCTCCCCCGTCCCATCCCAAATCCTTATCCTGATCCCTTCCATTGCTATATAGTCGTAATGGCTTGACGCTTTCCCTGACAATTAAAAAATTATGTTCTGCACTGTTCCCAGCCACTCATAATCCAGCCTAAGATTAGTCAAACGCTACCTTGCATAGATTAATAATTAAGGTGTTTAAGATATTAAGATAACACAAATTAGAATACTTAACAGTGAATATAAATTAGGAAAGTTTTGATTTAGGAAAGACCTTGGTATCATTGTGGTTTTAAACGGGTATTAATTTGAGGAATATATATATATATATATGGATGTTTGGATGTATATAAATAGCCAAATAGGAGCTACCCGTATGGGCTCTTATATATGTACCTTCATCCCTGTGTCAATATTTGTCTAATAAGTCAGTATTTAACTTATATATATATATATATATATATATATATATATATATATATATATATATATATATATATATATATATATATATATATATATATAATAATAATAATAATAATAATAAAATATATTATATATGTGTTTTTTCTCAAATATATCAATGTTATGATATATTGTGTGACTTTGGTTTCCATTTTCGGTTTATTATTACGATAAAACGCGAGGTTGGAGGAGTCCAGTCTGGTGGGGACGGAGAAAGAGAGAGAGAGACTTTACTTGAGATCCTACTGTCAAGAGCCTAGAAACTTTACAAGTTTCTGTTGGAGGTATTGGAATAGTCAGGTCTAAGGACTGTCATGATACTTAGGCACATCTACGTCATAGGTACTCATACATACACCAAACCTATCCTTATCTAACGAAAATAATATATAAACTGCGTATTAATTTCGAGGCGACATTTAATGTTCAGCCTGCGGGGTGTCAACAAAAACAAATTCTTACAAACCAGGGAAAGTTGGCCTCCGACTAGGCTACCGGGGAGGGGGGGGGGACGGGGTGGAGGGAGGGAAACGGCTGCCCCATTTAGCCCTGACAAACTGGTGTTGACATGATTCCAACGGTTTCATCTTTGAGGTTGGCACTTCCGGTCCTTTTAACCCGCCATACTCTGCCAAGATTCGATGGTGATGCTATATTAAGTTGGATTAGGGCATGGCTATTCCAAAGGAAACAGAGAGTTAGTATAAATGGGGTTAAGGCAGAGTGGAATAATGTTGTAAGTGGAGTGCCTCAAGGCTTGTCCTGGGACCTCTGTTGTTTATAATATATATAAATGATTTAGATTCAGGTTTGAGTAGCAACATTTGCAAATTTGCCGATGATACAAAAATCGGTAGGGAAATTAGTACGGAAGAAGACTCACTATCACTTCAAGTTGATCTAAATAGGGTTTTAAATGGTCAAAAGATTGGCAGATGCAGTTTAATGCTGATAAATGTAAAGTTCTGAGGCTAGGTAATGATGATAAAGTTACAAGATACGAGCTAGATGGTGTTGAGATTGTGGAGTCGGTAACAGAGTTGTTGATTTGTGGAACCAATTACCGCGTACCGTGGTGGCGGTGGGATCCCTCGATTGTTTCAAGCGTGGGTTGGACATGTATATGAGTGGGATTGGGTGGTTATAAATGAGAGCTGCCTCATATGGGCCAATAGGGCTTCTGCAGTTACCTTTGTTCTTATATTTGAAGAGTTGTCAAATCACCAGAGATATTGTTTTGGTCTTCCAAATGCTTTTCAACTTCTGTCTTTTGGCTGTATGACAGGACGCCCGCCTTTTAATAACAGTTCGTCTTAAAAAGTCTAGGTCTATATACATAGGTTAGCTAGAAACTAGCGGTAATTAATTTGTTAAATTTGATAGTTACTGGTCTGGAAGAGATAGCAGGTCCATCGCTCTCTTTTCGACTAATCAGCCGACTCCCGTTCATTGGCAATTCGATGACGAGTAATTCACGAAATGTATGTTGATGCAGTTTGGGTTGCGCACACGTCGGGTTAAAACATTTCCCTTTTTCTTCGGTTGAGAAAATAGTTTATACTAGTCACCCCTGAACCCATCTTTATAATACTAAAGAAATCGAACCGGTCATTTATATTTTTTTTTATATAACCGAAAGGGTATTCATGGCTGACTTGTATGGCTACTGGACCTTGCAGATTGAGTGTGTAGCCCCTCCTCGAGAGCCCTTTTATCTTGAGATTATTTTAAGATTATCTTGACATTATTTCGGGGCTTAGCGTCCCCGCGGCCCGGTTCTCGACCAGGCTTCTTTTTGTTACATATCCCCAGGAAGCAGCCCGTAGCCGCTGTCTAACTCCCAGGTACCTATTTTACTGCTAGGTGAACAGGGGCATCAGGGTGAAAGAAACTGCCCACTTGTTTCCGCCTCCACCGGGGATCGAACTCAGAACCTCAGGACTACGAATCCGAAGCGCTGTTCACTCAGCTGTCAGGCCATGTTGCCACAACGGACAGAAAATAGTGCACTAAAACCGGAATCTTACCTAACCAAGAGACCTACTCATAAAAAACGTGAATGTTTGTGAGCCGCTATGATTTATAGTACATCATATTTGGTTCGTTGGGGATTTTGACGTCAAAATACGATGTATTATTCGAGAGGACAGGTGAGTGTGAGCAGCCCGTCCTCTTAAGGCTCCCCAACGTCAAGAAACTGTCGTACTAAAGTATCTTAACCCACCAGAGGACCCAAAATAGAAAACGGAACAGTCTGCCATTTTCCAGATCGACAATTTTTGGCTTTAGGTAAAGTGTATGTCAAAATGCGTCGTTCTATTAGGAAGTCGGGTTAGTGTGAGGGCCGAGGCCGCTACTGCCGCCCCGCCACCTCGAAAGTGCCCATCGCTGGCTGGGTTCTTCCGCAGACTGGATCGGTCACATTATTAACTCTTTTTGGATATTTTTACATTATTAACTCTTTTTAGACGACGACGTTTCGGTCCGTCCTGGACCATTCTCAAGTCTATTGTCTAGTCATCTCATTAACTTATATTCTTTCCTTTTGACAGGTGTGCCTCAGGGATGGAGTGCAAGCGTCCAACAGGAGCGGGAGGAGAGGCTCCTAGTATAGTCGCCGGCGTAAGGGCTGTCTTCAGGTCCCGCTCCTTTTCCGGTAAGGTCCGGTCCCGGTCCAACAAAGAGGAGTCGCAAACTTCCCCATCCACTCAGCAGCTTCCCCTAAACAATAGTAATAAAAACAATAATAACAAGAACCACAGATCTCCCAAGTCGCCTTTCTTAGGATGGAGAAAATGCAAATTAAAAGAGACTTTGGAAAGTAAGGAGAACACCAGCGTGCAAGATCTCCCCGTGGCTGAGGGAGTTGGGACGTGTTCGCAGTCACAGGTGGAAAGAATCAGTTCGCACAGCTCAGATGATTATGCGCCACCCTTGGGGCTCATACGGAATATAACCCCAGGCCAATCTGCAAGTTTTCAGAATCAAGTTGACGTGCACAAAAACATTTCTAACCCATCAGACACTCGTAGCAGCAACAACAACAGTCAGAGTTTAGGAGTGCAGTCTAATATTTACGTGAAGGAAACAAATAACGAGGAAAGGAAAAGTGAATCTAGTATTTCCTGTGAGTTAATTAACACCTCTCAAGGTTATGTAAAGATGGAAAATTGTGCCAATAATAGTTATAGCGTTAGTGAAGACAAAAATGTCACAGGAGGTAGTGTGGACAACAAAAACGCTCTTAATAAGAATAATAATATTCCAAGAAGTGGTAGGAGTAGTTCCGAAAGCAGTACTAACTCCTACGAGTCACTTCCAGAGAGCTGTAACTTACCAGGATACAATGAACAGAGAGACGGAGTTGTGGAGGGAGGTCTGAGCGTGGTGAGGGACCCAGGGGACGGTAGTGACACCCAGGAAGTGTGTCATGAAGGCAAACTAGAAAACGAATCGTGTATCAAATATTTCAGAGATATATATAGAAACAGTAAAATAAATAATGACTGTATGAGGCCTCGTGGCGTCCCTGTTGAACTGAGTCGGGGTCTTTGGCTGAAGTATGCACTGAGTTATAACTTGCATGTCCCCGAGTCACCAAGAAACGAGGTTTCGGTGTTATCCTTGGGTATTGATCAGTACATCGAGGAAGTGTTCAGATATCTCGATTACTCTGGGATGGGGAAGGTGAGTGTGGAGGATATGGACGCCTTGTGTCAGGTGCTGGGGCTACCGGACGACCGGAAGAAGGCAGCACAGCAGAGATGCCGCTGTTCAGGTTCCAATTTGACACTTAATGGATCCCTCAATTCGTCATCGGTTAACGTAGACAAGTTTCAAGACAGCGAATGTCCTTTGCATCTCAAATTTAATGAGTTCCACAATAAGTTATTCACAAAGTTAACTCAAGCTGCCAAAGTAAATAGCATCGTGCCATTGGATTGCCGACGACCTAACAATCCTCGACTGGTGACATCTGTAGTCAATGTCCAGCGGCGCTATGACCTGTTGGAGAACATCTCACAGAGCATGTCTCAGATGGATGCCAAGCTGGAGAGCGAAGAGACGCGAGTGTCGGACAAGTGTGACACTACCGGGGTTGTTTGCTGCAAATGCCGACAGATGGCTCACGTCGATCGTAACTCAAACATTTCGTCAAAACCTTTGGATGCTGAGACTTCTTATCTCCAACGTCAGATTCTTCTACAAGAACAGGAGCTACAGTGCTTACGAGAGGTCATTGAAGATATGCGTATTGCCCTGCAAAGTTCTGATGCTGAGAACCTGGCACTGCAGGTAAAAATAAAGAGAAATGAAGATATTTCTCCAAGAATGTCGCAAGCAGACTTGTCGCTCACAGACGAAGAAGACACCATCGATAATCTGGTGAGGCAGCTGAATGAGCTGGACTGCCCAGCCCTGCTTACTATGGGTGCAGGCACTTCTTCATCCTCCCACCCAGCACACGACCTGACGGAACAACAGCCTCAAGAAGATACCTCGCTAAGTCAAGAGTCTGAGAAACCAGAGTCCCAAGAAGACCCACTTAACACAGCTTTCATATCTGGGGACTTCTCCTTAGAAGCCGAGCTGCAGGCTACCTATGAAGCACTGCAATCATCACGAGAAGAGCAGGAAGCAATGCAGGTCGACCTGCAACATACAGTCGGCCAGCTACAAGAACGCGAGTCTGAACTCCAGAAGATCGAACTCAGACTGCGCGAAGCTCAGTCAGCCCTAGAGAAAGCTCAACACGACAACCACGTGCTGGTCATGGAGATAGCGGAGACACGCCACAGCCTAGAGGAGAGCCGCAGTAAGCTGACGGTGGCGTGTGAAGAGCTGCGACAGGCAAAGGACAACTCCCACATGAAAGACAAGCACCTACACGAGCTACAAGCCAGATTAAACCTTCTGAAGAACTTCAGGTAAGCTACTACACCTGCTGTATCTAAACTAATGCCCTAAAGACTTTAGAATATGCCCAGGGGTTAATAAAGGGCACAGGCCTCTTCACATCACTGCACTATGGACTGTTCTGATGCGAGCAACCAAGGCCTGTGATATGTGATATTTTGATTTCTATGTTATATTTATATTGAACTGGTTGATTACATCTCATTCTGATGACTTGAGATCGACCACGTTGTGACTGCTAGACTATAATTATCATGCTGGCTCTAAGGAGCAACAACCTGACTAATCAAATAGTTGCAAGAATTGAATTCTCAAGTACATTTAGAGGTCATCTGCAGGTAATATGACGTTGTACTCGATTAATATATTTTGAAAATACAAACAAAACATACATTTTTTTGATTGGCGAATCATGTGTATATACGGAGGTTATCTTCAGGGAACTCTTAGCTACGTCTCCAAGACTACACATTTTATCTGATAATAGTTTTAGAATAAAAAACAGTTTCTCTCCTCATTGTTAAACTCACACTTCCGGCAGGAATAAAGATGCTTGGAAATTTAACAGGAAATGAGAGATTTAGAACAATATTATTGACCTTCCGTCGAATTATGTTTGACTTCGAATAATATTCAGAAGCCTCCTTTCAGTTTTGTGTTTTTCTCTACAAAAGTTGAAATTATTCTCTGTTGAAGATTGTAATCTTCATTAACCCAATGAAAAGATTGATAAATATTCGTTGATGTTCATCGTCCTCCATTGAGACAATTTTTCGTGATTTGGATATTGTAACAAATGATGATTTAATACCTTACTCCTTCTTTCCTTTCCTGGCATTTCTTATCAATCATTCTATGGTCACATTTATCACACTCGCACAAAATCCGTGTATACAACAGGAGTTTTATTGTCTGAGGACCCCTTGCACGTGAAGCCATGCTACTATGTTGTTTGTAAACAATGTGGCTGTTGTTGCCAAGGTGGTGTCGACTGTGACGTCACATTGCCACGTGTTGTTTGTAAACATTATGGCTGCAGTTGCCAAGGTTACCAAGGACTGTGACGTCACACTGCCACGTGTTGTTTGTAAACATTATGGCTGCAGTTGCCAAGGTTACCAAGGACTGTGACGTCACACTTCCACGTGTTGTTTGTAAACATTATGGCTACAGTTGCCAAGGTTACCAAGGACTGTGACGTCACACTGCCACGTGTTGTTTGTAAACATTGCGCTTGTGGTTGCCAAGGTGGTGTTGGCTTTGTATTAAATTACCCGCGTAATGTATAAGTGAATTACATCTCTCTGTTGTTCTTTTGCTTAGAATGATGATTGTGTGTTACGAAAGCAACGATTAAACTCTCTACAGCACCTTGGTTCAGATGACGAGGAAGATGCTCCCGAACGCAGGTTCGAATCCTCGTCACGGCCCTTGTGGATTTGTTCATGACGAGGAAAGCTTCAGAATGTCGATACAGTGTATGGATAATCGAGAGAAATGTGTAATAAAGTAGACATTATAACACAGAAATCACAATAGCATCAAATGAACGATTCTGCAATTCTTATCATGTAGCTCAGTCGATTAAGGCAGCGTCTGGGATGCTCTCAGACGTAGGTTCGAATCCTCGTCACGGCCCTTTGTGGATTTGTTAAGACACTATAATATGCAATAAGGCCCCTCACGCCATGTGACCTAAGGGCCATTACGACTATACAGTATAGCACATGCAAAGGAGAAGGATTTAGGATAGGACGGAGGATAGGAATGATGCCAAATCACTTGGATTGGACGGTAGGGCGAGGGGTCTTTCTTTTTGCAAATCGGCGTTCAATCCCCCGACCGTCCAAGTGGTTGGGCAGCATTCCTTTTCTCCGTTCTATCCTAAATTTCTATCTTTTCGAAGCGCTATATAGTCGTAATGGCTTAGTGTGTGGGGTTCAGTCCCTGAGCCCATTATGTGCCTCTGTAACCCTTTCCACTACCGCCCACAAGATGGGTATGGGGTGCATAATAAATGAACTAAACTAACTAACTTAGCGCGTTCTCCTGATAATTACCTTACCGTACCTTTCACCTTCACAACATTTGCAAGATGATTCATCACTACACGAATTTCCTCAACAAATACTGGGGAATGTTGGCACAACTGCTGGTACTGCATACTCCAGCATTGGTCTGACCTTTGTGTGTTTTTTCTCAGGGATATTTCTGCACGGGCTCGTTCTTAAAACATCTTTCCCTAAAATCTTGAAGGCTGTCAAGATGTTAGCTAGCTTAGCGTATGCCGCTGATGTGATTGTATTGATGTGCGCTTCCGGGTGTGTGTACTAGATGCCTAGACATGCCTAGACATGCTTGCAAGGTCGAGCGCCAGTGTGCGTGCGTGCGTGTACTCACCTATTTGTACTCACTTATTTGTGCTTGCGGGGGTTGAGCTTTGGCTCTTTGGTCCCGCCTCTGAATAGTGAATCAACTGGTGTACAGATTCCTGAGCCTACTGGGCTCTATCATATCTACATTTAAAACTGTGTATGGAGTCAGCCTCCACCACATCACTTCCTAATGCAGTGTGTGTGTGTGTGTGTGTGTGTGTGTAGAGGGCATGTGGGGGGGGGGGGAAGGGCCTTGGAATTGGGGGTTAGAGTGGCATCATTAGTAAGTGCAACACCTGTCCCTGCAGGTGTACAGTACACTTGTGTTCTCTGTACACACTTTCTTTCCAATAAACTTTACTTGATTGAGTGGTTGTGGGATACGAGAGCACAGCTGTGCGGCGCTACCTTGAGTACACCTTGAGGTCACCTTGAGTTGGTGTCGGGGCTTAGTGTCCCCGCGGCCCGGTCATCGCCCAGGCCTCCTGGTTGCTGGACTGGTCAACCAGGCTGTTGGACGCGCCTGCTCGCAGCCTAACGTACGAGTCATAGCCTGGTTGATCAGGTATCCTTTGGAGGTGTTTACCAAGTTCTCAGTTCTTGAAGCCACTCTGTGACATGCCACTCACAGCTACACTAGACTGTGAGGTTAGAGGTGGAATGTGAGGTGTAGTGCGAGGTTAGTAGACGTGAGGTATGAGGTTAGATATGAGGTATGAGGTTAGATATGAGGTTAGATGTGAGGTATGGGGTTAGATACGAGGTATGAGGGGTTAGAAATGCTCTTCCGATAGAAGCGTAAGCTTAGCGTTCACTGGAGCAGCATCCAAGCGATTGAACGTAAGAATTAGGTGTTTATCAAAGGTCTAACTCTGAGTCTTAGACCGAGATAAAGGACTAACATCAGTCATTCTTAAAATCTGCCGAGGACTCTGAATTATAAAACGGGTCTTGACACTAAGGGCGGCGACAAGCTCAGATGTTGAGGACTGACAGACTGACAGACCAGGTAATTCCGGATTACCGGATTACCGGTGTACCGGATTACCGGATTACAGAGCATCGCAGTTGTCAGAGATGCCTTTTAATGCAAAACAATTGAAAAGACTATATTCCAGCTGCACTGAGTGCTTTATATAGTTCTGGGACCAGATTCACAAAAGCAGTTACGCAAGCACTTACCAACGTGTACATCTTTCCTCAATCTTTGACGGCTTTGGTTACATTTATTAAACAGTTTACAAGCATGAAAACTTCCCATTCAACTGTTGTTATTGTTATAAACAGCCTCCTGGTGCTTCGGAGCTCATTAACTGTTTAATAATTGGAAACAAAGCCGCCAAAGATTAAGAAAAGATGTACAGGTTCGTAAATTTTTGCGTAAGTGCTTTCGTGAATCTGGCCCCAGGTCTGGTAGTGAGCCAGACGAGACCCAGAAGATAGTGGTGAGAAGCGCTTCTAAACTTGTACCCACATTGAGAAATAAACTTTGAAAAAAGACTCAATGACCTTTTCTAAGATAGTGTTAGAAGGATTCATTAAGCATGTATACACAACAACTTGCGAAACCTGTACATCTTCCAACAGTCATGGCGGTTTTGTTTACCTGTATTCAACAAGAGCATTGAAACTTCAGAAGCCGAAAAGTGATTTTTGGTAAAACATATGTCAACAGAGCTGCCATGACTGAGGGAAGATGTACAGATTTCGCAAGGGAATACGTAAATGATCAATCCTGGCCGGGGTCCAGGAGAGAGTGCGGGCCTCCACCCTCGACCAGCATTTAGGCAGAGCTGGCCGTGTTGCCGCCTCTGGAGTGATGTGTAATATTAGTGTTGTTGTTGTTTAAGATTCGCTACTTGGAACAAAAAGTTCCAAGTAGCACGGGCTATGGTGAGCCCGTAGTGGACTTACCTGGCACAGGAGCGGGGCTGTAACTCCTATTGGAAAAAAAAAAGTTAGTGCTCCCAGTTATTATTTATCTTCCCGCCTCCCTTCCTTGTGTTAGCAGGTGGAGGGAAGTTGCTCCACCTGACAAGGAACATTACTAGTGAATAATACAGTGGTCAGAAGACTACCACATTGCTCAGTGTTCTATTATGGCACTTTATATATTTGTAATTAACTTGCCCCGCACCTCACCTAAAAAAATATATGAATAAATAAATGAATAAATGTTTATTTAGGTAAGGTACATACATACAAAAGATTAAACAAAGAGTGATGGAATTATAGATAGAGCTAGTACATACAATGCCTAAAGTCACTATTACGCAAAGCGTTTCGGGCAGGAAAAACATTAATGACTAAATCTTAATACTAATTGAGCATAAAGAATAAAATGTGTTGAGAACAAATAAAAATAGAGATCGTCAATGGTCCCCAAGCACATATATATATCACTAACTCTATGACCCTTTTACGGGCTATTCATGCCCGTGCCCACCTCATAGGTGGCTTAATCTTCATCAATCAGTCTATGACCCCTCAAACGATTCGAACCCAGGCCTCCACGGGGTCTCCCATCAACGCCACTGGTACTGACCACTGCACCTCGGTGAGTATACATATGTAACGTGTACGTATGTAAATATACATACCTTTTGTTCAACAGTAACACATGATCCTTCAAGGGG